GCATCTCTTGCGTGGGGTGGTGGGCAGGTGGCGAGTTTATCGTTAGGGCCCAACTTAGCCGGTTCCTGCCCTGCGAAGATTTTCAGACCCCCCTGGGCGAGGTGAGCCTCTGTGGGCTTCACAACCCCTAATGTGTCCACTCGGCTGGCTGTGTGACCTTGGGCCGGTGGCTCGGCGTCTCGGAACCTTGGTTTCCTCCCCTGTGAAATGGGTATACCCACATCTGCTTGTACGGGGAGGGCGAATGACACGCAGCTAAGCTTAGCACAGCCGCAAGAGCTCAAGATGGGAGCGCTGTTTCCAACCAGTGCCTGTGTCGGTGGCCTCTCAGTCCTTCCCTCTCAGCTCCCCCCGGCTCCCAGCCCTGGGGCCGAGCCCTTTCTGTGGGTCCCCAGCACCTCGCCTGGGCACGAGCAAACGACGGGGCTGGGTGAATGTTTGAGAAAGGAATGAACAAGGCTTGAAGCAGAGGCTAAACTCAGGTTGAGGAGATGGGTCTCAGAGGTCTTTGAGCCCCTTGAACTTGTCCACAACTTTTGGTTGAGCCTGGGCATTTTCTTGGGAGAGTACCTGGAGTTTTCAGTAGCTTTTCAAGGTGTCTGTGAGCCACCATGGGTTAGGAGCCAGGGAGCTTTGGGGACAGCTTCTTCCCAGAGAGGAAAAAAGCAGGGCCTCTGCCCCCAAACACGCCCAGGCCCCGGCTCTCACAGCCACTGCGCCCCCTTTCCTGGTTGGGGTCCCTTTCTGTCTCCCCGGCTCACCTAGTGAACCTTTAGAGAATATCCACTTGGGCCAAGTGTATACAGGGGCTGGAAGTTTGAAATGAAAGAGACAATAGGAGGTGATCACCTGATGTGACCAGGATGATTGGTGCCCAGGAGGCTTCGGGAAGTATTTCCCAGAAGAAGAGTGTCTAAGCTGAAACAAGCCAACATCATCTCTTACCTGGGTGTTTGCACTGGTCTCTCTCTCCCCCGCCTGCCCCCCTTTTGCTTTTGAGTTGAAGTCTCACTCTGTCACCCAGGCTGACACGGCCACCGCAGTCTCAGGCTGCTGGGCTCCTGCGATCCTTCCGCCTCAGCCTTCCAAGTAGCTGGTACTACAGGCATATGCTACCACGCCTGGCTAATTTTTTGATTTATTGAAGAGATGAGGTGTCACCAACTTGCCCAGGCTGTTCTCGAACCCCTGGGCTCAGCAATCCTCTCACCTTGGCCTCCCAAAGTGCTAGGATTACAGGCTTGAGCCACCACGTCTGGCTCCCCCCCACCCTCCTTTTTTTATATTTAAGTTGGAGTCTCACTATTTTGCCCAGGCTGGTCTTGAACTCCTGGCCTCAAGCGGTTCTCTCACCTCAGCTTCCCAAAGTGCTGGGATTACAGGCGGAAGCTACTATGCCTGGCCTTTCTCTCCCCTTTTTAAAATTTATTTATTTATTTTGAGTTGGAGTCTCACTCTGTCGCCCAGACTGGAGTGCAGTGGCCGCTCCCGGTTTTT